CCTGGCTTTGGCTGGGGCTGCAGCCATCAGTGGAGTGAACCAGCAGATGGAAGATTTCTTTAACTCTTTCAAATAAGTAAATAAATCTTAAAAAAAAAAAACCTTATTGTGTCGTTTAATATTAATCCACATAAAAAGCCATGTCAGGCCGGTGCACGGCGGCCACTGGAGGGTGAACCAACAGTAAAGGAAGACCTTTCTCCCTGTCTCTCTCTCTCACTGTCCACTCTGCCTGTCAAAAAAATTAAAATAAAAAAAAAATCCATGTCAAATGAAGACAACTAAAAACATTTTTTAAACATTTATCTGAGGGGCCAGTGCTGTGGCGCAGCAGGTTAACCTTCCGCCTGCAGTGCAGGCATTCCATATGGGCGCTGGTTCTAGTCCTGGCTGCTCCTCTTCCGATCAGGCTCTCTGCTTTGGCCTGGAAAAGCAGTAGAAGATGGCCCAAGTTCTTGGGCCCCTGCATCCACATGGGAGACCTGGAAGAAGCTCCTGGCTTCAGATTGGCATAGCTCCAGCCATTGCAGCCATCTGGGGAGTGAACTAGTGGATGGAAGACCTTTCTCTCTGGTCTCTCCCTCTTTCTGTAACTCTACCTCTCAAATGAATAAAATCTTTAAAAAAAAATTTTATCTGAGAGAGAAGGAAGTAAAGACAGAAACAGACATGCATGGGGAGAGAGAGAGACAGAGAGACAGAGTAAGGGATCTCCCATCTGCTGATTCAATTCTCAAATACCCACAATAGCCAAGCCTGGGCCAGGCCAAAGCAGAAGCCTGGAACTCAGAGCAGGTCTCCCACGTGGGTGGTAGCACCATCACACTGCTTCCCAGGGTCTGCATTGGCAGGAAACAGATTCAGGCTCTCTGAGGCAGGGTGCAGGTGGCTTAACTGCTGGACCAGACACAGATACCATGATTTTTCTTAAACAGAAATATTTGTGATTAAAAAAAAAAAAAAAGTACAGGTCTGGACTAGAGAAGAGAAAGTGGCGGAAGGCCCACACCGGCTCAGCAGCCTGGGAGAGATGACGCAGGTGGATGTGTTTTGAAGAGACGAGTCTGGTGCAGGATTTGCCTGGTAGGCAAGGTTTTGCAAGTCATCTTCCTGTGGTTTTCTCACTCCACCCCCAGCCTGTCTTCCACATCCCGGCTTAGTAATCGTTCCGGAATCAATCTGATCACAATTCCCCTGCTTAAAACTGAACTTCCAGCTCCTCCATGGGCCATATCACGTGCTCCAGGACAAGACCGGTCTCTCTAGGCTCGTCTCGTACGTCTGCCCCATCAGAAGCCCGGCCCCTTAGGCAGGTCCTCACCATTCCCAATTCCGCAGCGGGGCCTGGGGGGATGTCGGGCCCGTGGCTGTATCAGGCCTGCAGAGGCATCTGATCCGGCCCTGCCAAGGCAACCACAGGTGGGATGGAAATTCAGTAAACCTATAGCAGGCTAATTTTTAAGCCGATAATTTTACGTGGCCCTCGAATGATGGTCTAAATACCCAAATGGCCCTTGGCAGAAAGAAGGTTCCCCAGCCTGGCCGCTCAGCATCCTCCTTCAAGAGTGAGTTCAACAAGCTTCCCTGGGAGGCCTCCTCGCACTTTCCTCTTCGGCCTGTCCCAGCTCCGTCGCAGTCAGCATCAGGCTGCAGGGGAACGATCCACTCGCACACCTGCTTCCCCCGCTGCTGACACACAGTAGGTCCTCTCACGAACACTTGCCGAAGAGCTCACTTGTTGGCTCACGTACATCCTCCTTCTCCTTTCAGCTCTTCTGAAGTACTTGGGAAAGGACATGGAAGTGGCTCAAGTGGAGACGGCTGAAACAGAACACAGTAACCGCCCCCCGCCTGGTGTGTCCGCAGCCTCTGGTTAAGGAGAAAGAACAGGCCGGCGCCGCGGCTCACTAGACTAATCCTCCGCCTTGCGGCACCGGCACACCGGGTTCTAGTCCCGGTCGGGGTGCCGGATTCTGTCCCGGTTGCCCCTCTTCCAGGCCAGCTCTCTGCTGTGGCCCGGGAGTGCAGTGGAGGATGGCCCAGGTGCTTGGGCCCTGCACCCCATGGGAGACCAGGAGAAGTACCTGGCTCCTGCCTTCGGATCAGCGTGGTGTGCCGGCCACAGCACGCCAGCCGCGGCGGCCATTGGAGGGTGAACCAACGGCAAAAGGGAGACCTTTCTCTCCGTCTCTCTCTCTCACTGTCCACTCTGCCTGTCAAAAAAAAAAAAAAAAAAAGGAGAAAGAACAAAGAGACCTGGATCCCAGCACCACTGCAGCGCTGCCCTGGTTTCTCTTGCTTGTAACAGCCAGGACCTGCTAAGCAATTTGTGGGGGCTCCATGTACGATAGAATCGTGCAGCCCCCTGTTCAACCATTAAGAATGTCGCAAAGCGACAAGCAGAACATCAACCCTCGCCGGGACCCTGTCCAACTGCACAGGTGGCACATCCGTGAGGCTCTCCCTGATGACTGCGGCTGCGTGGATCTCATCGAGGCATGTCGGAAGAGCAGGGAGCCTGGAGAAACGTTGGCAAAAGGTTTCAGAGTGCCTTTACAACATGTAAAATTGTTGCTTTAAAATGTATTCCTTCATGCCACACCCTTCAATAAGACCCCGCAGTTATGATTGCTTGTTTTCATTGTAAGTGAAGGATCTTTTTTAAAGTATTCTATTTGCACATTGCTTTGGGAAGATTGCCACAAATTCTTCAGAAGTCCTGGAGAAATAATGCTGTGACGCCCACTCCCACACTTACCCCTGGAGTGAAGTAGCAAGTCCTACGTCTGTGTAACCCCGACATCTGGGAGGAGCTGACAGAAGACTGGCTGGGCCTCCCCAAGATTTTACTAAAGTGCAACAAGCTTATCATGCTTCTACTGATCTTTTAAATATTTTTTTTTTTGACAGGCAGAGTGGACAGTGAGAGAGAGAGACAGAGAGAGAAAGGTCTTCCTTTTCCGTTGGTTCACCCCCCAATGGCCACTGTGGCTGGCGCGCTGCGACAGGCGCACTGTGCTGATCCGAAGCCAGGAGCCAGGAGCCAGGTGCCTCTTCCTGGTCTCCCATGCGGGTGCAGGGCCCAAGCACTTGGGCCATCCTCCACTACCTTCCCAGGCCACAGCAGAGAGCTGGACTGGAAGAGGAGCAACCGGGACAGAATCCGGCACCCCGACCGGGACTAGAACCTGGGGTGCTGGCGCCACAGGCAGAGGATTAGCCTATTGAGCTGCAGTGCCAGCCCTTTTAAACATTTTGCACCATTGCTTCTCCATGCAATTGCCTCCCAGTCTATCAAAATGTGACCTGATCTCATAGTAACCTTAATAAATTAGAAAATGGTTAAATTCCAAATAAACTTGGTTTATCAGAGATTATCATGATGAAATGTCATTGGCATATACTGACAAGGTAAATGAATGAAGATTTACGACAAAGTTCTTCTGGAAAAAAAGAAAAAAACCTCAACCAGTTTGACAAAGTGGGTTTGCACTGCTCCAAGTTCTCCAGCAGGGGGCTCAGGAGAAGCGGGCCGCGTCCCAGCGTTCCCAGCAGGTGGGCGGCTGGCTCAAGGTGCTGCCTGTCTGCTGCAGGCCTCTGTGGGTTCCTGCTCTGAACCCCTTTCTGGTCTGATTCCCTGCCTGGGAGAGCAGCCATGGGGCCAGCAGCACTGTTAGGTGGAGTGGAGCTGCCCAGGAAGCCAGTGGACAAATGCTGGGGTCCCTACCTTTCTTCCAGGCTCCCATCTCACGCTCCCCAGGGTTGGCGGTTACTCTGTTCTATGTAACCCAAACCCAGAAACCTAGGATTATGGCTAAATTCCTGAAACAAAACCTTCACTATACTATCCTAGCTTCTCCACAACGCAAACTTTTCACCAACTAGCCGCAAAAGAATGGCGAGGGGTGGGGGTGGGAGCTTTCTAGTGTTTAGGGAAAAATGGAAATAAAAGTATGTGTTTTGCTGCACAGTCATTTTAAATCCTTGTGACTGTTCCATAATACATATTTTTCATGTATTGTAGCAATTTTTTTGCAAATTTTTTGCACTGAAACAAACTCATGTTTTTAATTGCATCTCTCCACGAACTTTTTGAAGCCCCTCATGGAGCTGAGTCAGAAACCTTAACCTTGCCAGTGAGAAGACCACCACCAGTCAGCCACACGCAGGGGGAGGAGCTCCAGTGCTCAGCGCCACGCTTTCTCGCTCTCCAAGGCGCTTGTGTGACTGCTGCTAATGGCAGAGGAGGGAACAACCCTCACAGAACAGTCGTCGGAGAGCAACATTCACAGGCAAAACTCCAGACTGTGAAACACCAGCAGGGCCCAATTTGTCCAAGTTTGTCTGCCAGTGACTGCACCTGCTGTTCCTGCTTAGATTCTCTCACCTGAGGACAACCATGCACACAGCTAAAAACGCCTAAACTCAAAGAAATCCACACACCAAAGTTAACTACAGACACCCAGCAGCGAGCCCCTTGCACACACACACACACACACACACACACAGCTGTGCTGAAGGCATGTGGGCTGGGGCGTATTCTGCGCACAGGCAGCGCCCGGCTGAGAGGTGACAGAGCAGGCAGGGAAGGCACAGGCAGGCTGCAGCAACCCAGGGACCGTGAGCACTCGCGCCTTGCAAGTAGAGCCAAAACAGCTCACCTTAGGAAGACGCAGGGACATCTCCTAGCTTGGCCAAGTGACTAAAAATACACCTCTGGCCTCCTGGATCCCTTGCTGCCCCTAAATCAGTTCTTATGAAAATTCCTAATGAAGACCATCAGTTACTCTGTGGCCCAGTTCAGATCTGGGGACCAGGGTTGGGGCTGCTCTAGACACACAGATGGTGTGTGACTAAGGGACACGCTTCACGCAAGGCCCTTTCCCACACTTTCCTGGTCGCCCTACTGACCAGGGCGCAGACCCGGCGCTCCTGGGGCGCCCGGCAGCCAGTATGCTCTGTCAGGAACCCACAGGAGACCAAATGAACAGAGACGGCAGTGCAGTTTTGTAAGAAACAATATATTTCATTTTTCTGACACCACAGCTCTGGCGAGTGGTTTTGTACCAAATTTAATGGAGGTTACACAGAACGTTTTACGCACGGGAGGGGGAGGAGAGGGAAGGAACCACAAAATTTGAAACAGAAAAACAAAATCCTGGATAGCTTTTAGCATCTGTTCCACTCCCACATTAATAAAATTCACTTGGGAAGTCCTAATAAAAGGAGAACGGAACACAAGGTGGGCAGGGAAGAGCATGTTGGGGGCCAGACTACGGGGCAGAGAGGAGCAGACAGCATCCCAAGGCCAGCCCTGGCCCTGCCGCAGCCGGGACGCCCGCCGGCCGGCGCGGGAGGCGAGCCTTCGCGAGATTTACTTCCCCGGAAAAACACGATGTAGTGCAGCTGCCGAAGGGAGACGGAGGGCGGGGAGGCGGGGGCGCAGTGGGAGGGGGCACGCGGGAAGGAAACACACTTGACCGAAGGGCAGATGGGTCGGGGGCGGGAGGGCACACAAGAGAGAAGTGTCACGGCGGGTGTGTCCACTGCGGGAGACGGGCGGTGCTGAAGAGCACTTGAACTGAAAACCCAACGTCCTAAACTTCGTTATTTTTAAAAAGAAAAGCTCCCCCCTCCCCCCACCCCTCGCTGAACTTAGTTCCTTTTTTTGTGCTTTTCATTAATACTCTGCTCTGAGGTCGTAGTTTGGTTTTACTATACACTGGAGTTGAAAGAAAATAGTCCAAAGGTCTGAAGATGGATTCTCCACCTAAAGGAAACAGCGCAGCACCGCCGTTCCCCTCCTGCCCCACGGCCAAACGTCTCTGCTAAAATCCCTTTTACAATATAGTACAGTACACCAAAAAAAACCAAAAAACAAAAAAACAGAAAAACAAAAAGCCCAAATCAAAAACACAAAAAGAATCCTGGGAGAAGCCAGTCCAGAGGACGTAAACATACAGAGAACGGTGCAACACGTGACCGATGGCGATTCTCAAAGCACGGCTACAATTCCCAAGAGGAGGTGCCATCATGGGATACCCAAGTCCACAAAAATAATTCTTTAAAAATAAATCTTAAAAAAAAACACACCTGTTGATTAAATGAATAATTTGTTTTCAGGTAAATCCATACATTCTCGAGCTCCCCCCTCCCCCGAAGCAGCCCCCTGGGTCTCTGCTCGCCTATTGCATGACCAATAGTAGGGGCTCCTGGAATCTCATCTTGACAAGGGTCGGCAACATCCAATCGTAGCAGCTTAAAACATCATGTTTCCTGGGTTGCCAGGTCCTTGGCTAAATCCACCCATGCCCACGTCAGCAGCCATGCCCCGGGGCCTCATCTGGGGAGGGATCATGATGTTCTGTTGGGGTCCCATCATGCCCTGCATGGACATCATCATGCCTGGAGAGCCCACAGGCCCGGGATGGGTGTAGAGCCCAGCGGGCCCCCGATCCTTGCCAGGAATCATGCCCACGGCAGCAGCTGGATTGCTCATCAGGGTGGGCTGGCCGGGCATTGTAGATTGTGCTGGTGACATCATCCGATGGTGAGGTCCCATCATGCCTTGCTGGAGAAAGGCTGGTGGTCTCATTGGGTTGTGGCCCGGCATGGACGGAGCGGTACCAAGAGGGATGTCTGGAGTTCCCACTGGCCCTGGCCCTCCCATGCCAGGTAACGCGAGTCCCATTCTGGGGGCCTGTTCGCCCATCATCCCCTGCATGTGCGAAAACCCAGGTCCAGGACCCTGGGGCTGTTTGCGGCCCGGAACTTCCCCCCGAGGGAAATACTGCAGTGTCTGGCTGGGCTTCTCCGATGGAATAATGCGGGACAGGTCGAACTCGGGTATGCCGGTGGCTCCAGGGCGGATGACCTCCTGCAGATCCGGGTCTGTAAACACGGAAGGCATGCTGTTCCCCAGGACGGTGAAGGAGTCAGGACCGCCTGGGCCTCCAGGCTTGCAAAGTGCTGCATCTGCTGAACTTTGGGGCAGGTTGCTGGGGCGGCCGAGGGGGCCTTCTCCTGGGAAGCCCATGCCTCCTGGGAAGTTGCCCTGCCCTCCGCTGGGGCCGTTGTGAGGAAAGGGAACCTGCTGTGGAGGAGACTGTACTGGAGGGAAGCCCTGGGGGAAACCCATCCGTCCTTGAGGTACCATCGGAGGCTCCTGGGATCCATGCCCCATGATAGGATTGTGTGACATCAAGCCAGGCCCCATGGGGACCCCGTGAGGAGGTATGCTGGGTCCCATGGCATTTGGAGAGGGCATCTGATTGGAGTGAGAAAGCGGCTGGGTCATTCCCATTGGGCTGAGAGTTGGCATCGGAACCACGGGGTTTGGACCTGAAATTCGAGGATTCTGTGTGTTAATGCCCATTCCTAGAAAAACAAAGACACCAAAAGAAACAACTTAACCGAAAAGTAACTCAGAAACACTACAATGATCAAATTAATAAAAAATGACTGTGTCTTTAAACATGACACCCAAGGCTTGCCATCAGTAAGCCTGTGAGACATCTGGCAGCACACAAACCAACAGCTGGGCGAGACAGAAACCAAACAGGCCTTTTCTCAAACGGAGTGGGCACTGTGGTACACTGGCACCCCCTATCAGAGTGCCAGTTCAAGACCTGGCTATTCTGCCTCACATCCAGCTCCACTCATGCACCTGGGAAGGCAGCGGAAGTCGGCCTGACTACATAGGCCCCTGCACCCACGCGGGAGACCCAGATGGAGCTCCTGGCTCCTGGCTCCTGGCTTCAGCCTGGCTCAGTCCTGGCTGTTGCAGCCATTTGAGAAGTAACCCAGTGGATGGAAGATCTCTCTCTCTAACTCTGCCTTCCAAAAGAATATATCTTTTTTAAAAAGGAAAAAAAGAAAGGAAGGAAGGAGGGAAAAGAAACTGCTTTCAGTATTGCTATAACAAGACCAAAAAAGAAACAAACAAAAGCCACCCAGGTAGCCAGATGCATCAGAATTTTCTTTTTAAACAAACACACAGTTCATAAAACATCCCTCTAGTCAAGCACTTTAACTCTGAAGTCCTGAAACTAATTTGCATGGTGCATTTTTCAACTTGAACTTCCACCTATTTAGGACTGCAGCCACTGAGAATGCACCTGGAGAAGCTCTCTTTCATTTAGCACCAATCTGCATCTTCTCGTCCTGGCTCTCTTACCCGGCATATTATTCATTGATGGCAAGTTGGGGGAACGAGCTGGAGGGGAGTCGTCATCTGAGCTGGCCACGGTCTTGATGGCATCGTGGTATAACGGGGTGGAACTGGGCATTGCAAACTTGGACATTCGAGACATCATAATAGACAGTGGGTTCTGGGAGAGGGTTGGCTCTGGAGGCATGGTGTAGGGTGTGCTGGAGGGAAGACTTCCGGGGATGTTCACAGAGGCAGGCTGGCTGGCTGTAGGAGGCGGCGGGCCACCTAAACAAAAAATGAGCAGGGAATTAGATTCCTCTTGAAGGCTATCGGGCCCTATGATTATGAACCGGCAAGGCCAGGAGACAGGTGAATAGGGTAGTGTTATTGGAGCCAGGACACGAGCCATCAATCTTGTAGTCAAGCTCTGCGTGTGCACACAAGGCAACGCCATGTGACACGGAGGTGACAGGGCAGCAGATGTGCAGACAAACACGCCGGGAATGCATTAGAAATATCAGTTCAAGCCTGGGGGAAACACAGTTTACAACCATTGCACTGAAAAGAACGTGAAAAAAGTGGATCTCTTTTCCCCTGCCAATCACAATTTAGAATTCACCTCGAGTGTTAGCATGCCTGGAAGCCAGTCTACTGATCCAACCCCAGGTACTAACCACGTCACCCTACAGCATTCTTGATGAATTTCCACAAGCAAGACATTTGCACTCAAAAGGGCTGAGGGGGCTCCTCCAGCACACTGCTCCGTGAGCTGCCACCCAACAGAGAGGCATTTCAGCTTGGCAGGATAAATCTCCCGTCTCACTCTGATTTTAGTCGTTCTCAAGTGGAGACGGCACTAACCTAGTATTTACCCCTTGTTGCTACTCCCATTGACCACCTCTGGTCTCATTCACAAAACCACCATCATCAGCGAGAGGCTCTCCGCAGAAGAAAACACTGAGAGATGGCAGCGGACCTGTGAGAAGCGCGATCCCCAGGAAGGGCTGCCGCGCGCTGAGGCCAACGTGCGTTTACGAGACCATGCAAATCACGCAGCGCCCGCCTCCCCTCTCTTTGCTCAGCACTCTACTCAGGATCTCCCGACCCGAGGGTGGCCCCTTGGAACAGGCAGGTCCAGCATTTGAAGAGGCCACATTTATCCACCGTTAAGACATCTTATTTCACCAGCGTATGTCCACCGCACAAATGAAAACTATTCTGTGAACTGACATGTTTCCCACCTCCCCTCCTCCTTTCAATAGTCCCACCTGACATACGCATTCTCTGCCAGGTATGGACACTTGTGCATAAGCCCATGGAAGTGCCAACTATGCACCTTGCCACAAAGACGTCCATTTCAGCAAAGGCCGCCGTCTCCAGCTACGTGATTGCGCTACGACACCCATTTTCCTAAAGTAACCAAATCAGGCTCTCGCAGTCCCCAGCGACAAGGGCCGACTAAAAGGACGCAGACATACTGACCTGACTCAACATTTCCCAGCATGGCTGGCGAGGCCATGGTGAGCGGAGCCTTATGGTTCGGAGGGATGCCGGGACTCTGCAGGGGAGGTTTCGGAGAGGAAGTCCACCCAGGCGATGGGGCAGGAAGTGATGGAGACTTGAGGTGGACAGGTGAAGCAGCAGCAGACCCCAAGACAGGGGGGGACTTAATGGAAGCAGCGGCAGCTGGGCCCGCCAGCATGCCTGCCAGCTGCGATGGAGTCTGGGGGGACTTGAGGTTCCCCGAGGGTGAGCCCAACATTGGTGACTGGACTTGATGCATTGTGGGAGATTTCAGAGGGTTCATGCCCGGGGAGTGCACCTGGCTGCCTGGCACAGATATATCCAAGGGCTTCCGCCCCAGGCCGCGCTGAACTGGAGGAGCTGTGTTGAGGCTAGTGGGGTTACTGGAAGGGTTGAGAGGTAGTGGTGGCATGTGACTGAGCCGGCTGTTAGTCCTTTGGTCGGGCCCAATTGGTTCTCTGAGATTCCGCAAGCCACTGTTGCCGCCTGGACCCTGAGACATGGGAAGGAACGGCCTGGGGCCCATGCCGTAGTCCTGCTGAGGGTGCTCCCCGAAGGGCAGAGGCACCATCTTCTGCTGCGCGGGCAGCACGTCCGAGCCCCCGGGGCGCAGCTTCAGCATCTCCTCCGGGCCCGCCGCGGCCTCTCTCATCTTCTGAGGTATCATCTGAGAGTTGGATCCCATGCTGACACTGAGGTTCACGTCTCCCTTCATCCCCCCAGGAACCATCCCGAACTCCAGGTCCCGGCCAGGGCCTATCTGCGGAGGCATGCCCTTCGGGAAGTCGCCCCTGGAAGGACTCAGAGGGCCCTCGACTGGGATTCGAGGGAAGATGGGATTGCTCGCAGGCTCCATGTGGCGCTGGGAGCCCGGGAGCATCCTGTTCATCTCCAGGCTGGGCCTGATGCCCTCCATGCTCATGCCCGGGGGCAGGCCCAGCTGCTTCTCTGCCAGCTGCTGCTGAAACATCTCTTCTGACAACCCTTGGGGGTTTGGGAAGCGCTCCCCTCGGCCGGGCCCACTGAAGACGCCCTGGCCAGCAGGGAAGTTGCGACCATCTGGGATTTTTGGCACATCGTCTGGCCAACTGACTCCAGAGAGACCTGGTCTCGAAGCCGGGTTGGGGACATTCGGCCCTTCCATGTCGGAGTTTATCATTCCTGCAAATCCGGGGAGGCGCATCTGGCTTCCGGGCATGTTGGGGTGGGGAGCCATGCCCCTCGGGGGCAAAGAATGGGAAATGTTGAGACCGTCAGAAAACGGCTCGGCGCCTCCGGGAGCCCAGCCCTCTCCAGGGGCCATCTGGTACGGAGGGGGCGGCCCTCGGACCACTCCCCGCGGCCCGTGCTGGTGGACCATCATGTCCTGGAGGGAGCACTGCTGGACAACCACTTGCTCCTGCTTCCTCCTCTTCTCTTCGTAGAACTCCTGCTGCAGCTTCAGCCACGCGATCTGCTCGGGAGTCATGTGGTCCAGGTGGTCGGGTCCTAGGGGCCCGGACTGGGAGTTCACAGAAGGCGGAACCATTTCATCTGGAGAAAAGGGCACATCTCTATGTCCTTGTGGGCCAAACGGAGCTCCCACGTCTGTCCGGGGCCCAGGTCCCTTACCTAGGCTTTGGGATTGAGCCATCATGGCCTGGATTGGCCCTTCGGGTTTTTTCTGAGGTCCATCTAATACCCCAGCATTCTGCTGGGGCCCCCCACTTTGTCCTCCTGCGAATTCTTTCTCATCGGGGAACAGCATCCGCTGGATGTCTCTGAGGGTTTGTAAGGAGCGCTCCCGGTGCTCCAGCTGCTCCTGAGACAGGCCGTCGGGGTTCTCTCCCAGCGTGGGGGGCTCGCCGCTGGACACCGGTGGAGGCGGGGCGGCTTTGGGATCTGCTGAAGAGCTATTGCTCCCTTGGGAGACAGGCGTCACTGCTCGATTGTTGGGCGTGGAGTTTGGCCCGGTACCGTCTGGGGGCAGTGGAGTAGAGCCGGCAGGACTGCCTACAGAAGGAATCAGTTTGTTTTCTACCCCAGGACTCTCCCGGTCCAGGGGCCGTGGGGGCGCGGCAGGCTTGGGTGCTGGTGCCGGAATGGGTGGAGTTGGCTGCAGTCTGGTGTTCTGGGAAGAATTCTGGTCCTGGTTGGCTGGAGCCGGGGGCTGCTGTGGGAGAGGCTTGGGATCATTCCGAAGGGCAGATATCTGTGTGTTCTAAGGAAAACAAGATGTTTGAGATCACTGGTGAATTGAGTGGAAGGGAATTAAAAGGGTAAGATACGCTGTAAAGGACTCCCCCATCACATCAGTCCAGGCTGATGTTTGCTGCAGAAATTTCTCATGCGTACCACCACTCTATTAGTTGGTTTTTTTTTTTTTTTTTTTAAACTTTACTGTCAAATGACACTCTCTCTGGCTGAGGATTAGGTTTCAATAACTTTACAAGCATGCTGGGGAGAGCCACCCTGCCAAAGTGCACACATTTGAGTATCTATTTCGAGGAACTGGTTTGCTATCACTTGTCTGCAATGTGTTTCTGATCCAGGGACAGATTAGTTCCTTGGTATGTGAGAGGCTGCACCCAACACCTTTTTCTTCTCCCTGAAAGTACGGCTGGGTACGCAGCCATCCCGTGGTCCACGAGAAGCTCTGATGTCTCCAGCTAAACGACAGAGAGAGGCACCTGCAGCTTTGTGCTCCACCAGCCGGAGGCAGCGAGTTAGGCCGCTGCGTTCCAACGTCCCCTCTGGCTCGGTGACTACTGAGGTGCGGCCCTCCTTGAGTTTCCCAGGGGCCTGACTTCTCTGGTTTCTGTTTTCAGTTCATGATCAGAGATTCTGTATTTGATAAGAGTTTGGACATTGACGGCAGTAAGGTAATCCACAGGCAGGAAGCGTCTGCGGAGAACTGAGGCTATCTAGTTCAGGGTGTCTCCTGATCTGTTCTTTCCAATAAGACAGCAGACTGCCATTCTGAACAGGTTGGACAACTGCCTTACTATTATTTATTAAGCACCACTGCGGTACACAGTCCTGGGTAAAAGCACACTTGCTATGACAGGTGCTGCAGACACGGGCAGCGTTGGGACACACCGTGTCTCAGGTCTCGACCTTAGCTCTGCTGAGACTTTGGAGGGCACTTTAGAACAGACGGCCAGGCTCCCCCGTCGCTGAGGCTCTCACCAGCCTCCAGTGAGCACCCTGATCCCTTTCGGTGTTCCTTTGCTCCTACTTGTTCACTTACTCCACTGGGTCTCTATTCCTAAACCTGCCGCTGTTGCTCACCTCCCCAGCGACTTCCTGCAATGCTTACTTGTGTGCAGACCTGCACAAATCATTATGTGTATTTGTGGACATGAATAGTTCATGTTATATACTCATAAAACACCTCATTATACATAAATATATGTAAATGTTCCAGCTGGGGACACCCGTGCACACTCGTCTGTCGGTACGGATTTCTGCGGGTAGGACTGGCTGAACCCATGACTCTGGACATTCACAGGTGTATTCCAGGGCCTGGAGCTGCGTCGAGGTAGGTTAGGCCTCTGCCTGCAGTGCCAACATCCCGTATGGGCACCGGTTCTAGTCTCGGCCGCTCCTCTTCCGATTCAGCTCTCTGCTATGGCCTGGGAAAGTAGTAGAAGATGGCCCAAGTGCTTGGGCCCCTGCACCCATGTGGGAGACCCGGAAGAAGCTCCTGGCTCCTGGCTCCGGGCCAAACTTCACATCAGCCCAGCTCCAGATGTTTCAGCAATTTGGGAAGTGAACCAGTGGATGGAAGACCTCTCTCCCTCTCTCTCTCTCTCTCCTTCTGTCTGTAACTCTACCTCTCAAATAAATATACATTTATTTATTTATTTATTGACAGGCAGAGTGGATAGTGAGAGAGACAGAGAGAAAGGTCTTCCTTTTGCCGTTGGTTCACCCTCCAATGGCCGCCACGGCTGGCGCGCTGCGGCCGGCGCACCACGCTGATCCGATGGCAGGAGCCAGGTGCTTCTCCTGGTCTCCCATGGGGTGCAGGGCCCAAGCACTTGGGCCATCCTGCACTGCACTCCCGGGCCACAGCAGAGAGCTGGCCTGGAAGAGGGGCAACCGGGACAGAATCCGGCGCCCCGACCGGGACTAGAACCCGGTGTGCCAGCGCCGCTAGGTGGAGGATTAGCCTATTGAGCCATGGCGCCGGCAAATATACCTTTATTTAAAAAAAAAGTGTATCCTAGGAATCAGCTCTATTGCTTAGTAGATTACGCTGCTGGTTGTGATGCCAGCATCTGATATTACAGCCTGGATTCGAGTCCAGGCTGTGCCACTCCAATCCAGCTCCCTGCTAAGCCAGGGGAAAGCAGCAGAACATAGCCCAAGTGCTTTGCCCCTGCTACCCACATGGCAGACCCAGATGGAGTTCCAGGCTCCTGGTTTTGGCCTGGACCAGCCCCAGTTGTTATGGCCATTTGAGAAGTGAATCACTATCTCTCCTTTCTCTGTCACTCTGCCTTTCAAACACAAATAAATAATTTTTTTGAAAACAGTATATCCGAGTCTGCTTCTGAACTGGAGTATGGAGGTCACCCTAATTTTCCTTTTAGTGCCACTTTAAGTATGGTTTTGTTAGTCAGGTTTTGTGGGTCTGATGCAGTGGGTATTGATTTCATATAAGGTAACCATGATAGAAGAAACTGTTTAGTGCCACCCTTTCCATTTCAGATGTGGAGCGATGGATTACTTTCAATTCCCTTCTTAATTCCTTTTCTGATTTCCTTTCGGTATTAGAGAAGATGGAGGTGATAACTGTATTAAGAACTGTCACTAAATCAATGAGAGGTTGGTTTGTGTTGCAACGTGCCCTGTGCATTCCAGGACAATCAGTGGTTTAAATACAATTATATCCATCCTCTACCCCTGAGTAGTGCAGATGTGTGGGGAATGTGAAATTCTTTTTCTAGGTCCAGCACAGCCCAAGCTCTGTGAAGCCACAGAGATGCACACGGATGCCATCTGTTTGATCGTGAGTTGTTACTTTGTTCACGTATCGCTACTTAACTTCTTCCATGTTTAAGATTCATCCCAGTTTTAGATTTTATGCTCTCGAGAAGAAAGGACTGTGCCACAGCATTGCGTGCACTGGACTGATAATGCTCCACGCAGGAAAAAGCTTCCGGTTCAGTTTGGGGAACTACATGCATTAAGTAATCACTGTCTGCTTTTCTGAAGTAGTTTACAGTAGCTGCTTAAGATCCAGATAGGAAACAGAATAATATTAATGATCATTTTTGAAATATGAAGCAATGCAAAGCATTCAACAGCCCTCTCACTTTGGGATAAGAATCACTCTGAAAGTCACTGAGACTAATTATGGTATTATCATCATATACTCTAAGACTGTAATTTCAGTTATCACTTTTTTCTCTGTTCTCTAACTATATATTGATTTGAAAGGCAGAGTTGAGAGAGAGGGAGAGGTAGAGAAACACAAAGAGAGAGAGATATCTCCCATCTGCTGGTTCATTCCCTAATGCTGCAGTGGCCGGGGCTGGGCCATGTCAAAGCCAGAAGCCAGAAGCTTCCTCCAGGTCTCCCAAGTGGATGCGGGGGCCCAAGCACTTGGGCCACCTTCTGCTGCTTTCCCAGACACATTAGTGTGGAGCAGCTGGGACTCCACAAACAGCACCCGTATGGGCTGCCAGCATTGCAGGAGGCAGCTTAATCCCCTGTGCCACAATGCTGGCCCTTTCTGTTCTTCAACTAACTTGAGAGTGCTAATTATTATATATATATATATATACACACACACACACACACATATATATATATATATATATTTTTTTTTTTGACAGGCAGAGTGGACAGTGAGAGAGAGAGAGAGAGAGAGAAAGGTCTTCCTTTGCCGTTGGTTCACCCTCCAATGGCCGGCGCACCGCACTGATCCCATGGCAGGAGCCAGGTACTTCTCCGGGTCTCCCATGGAGTGCAGGGCCCAAGCACTTGGGCCATCCTCCACTGCATTTCCCGGGCCATAGCAGAGGGCTGGCCTGGAAGAGGGGCAACCGGGACAGAATCTGGCGCCCCGACCGGGACTAGAACCCGGTGTGCTGGCGCCGCAAGGCAGAGGATTAGCCTAGTGAGCCGCGGCGCCGGCAATTATTATATTTTTTTTAAACTGTTCTGTCCTTAAGGTCTGAACTTGGGTTCTCCCAGAGACAGTTACATGGAGGCAACACAAAAATATCTGAAAAACTCGTTTATTTTGCATCATCTTCTCCCTGGTGAGTCATCAATCTACGACCATCCAGGATGAAAAGGCTGGTTGGTGCGGTATTCCTAAAACCCCAGAATGCCAGAATTGGGTTCAGTGCCCAGAAGGCAGCTCCTCTCAGTAAGACTCTGAGAAGCTCACCGCCTGCCCCTGCAGTCGCCGCAGAACCCTCCCGCCGGAACCCTCCCGCCAGAACCCTGTTCTGAGTGACATACCAGAGGGGCTGTGCTTCTCTCTGTCTTGCTGTTGGAAATGTTCTGGATGTGAAAGGAGACGATGGTTTCAACCTGGCCCTTCAGCACGGCTTCTGCAGCTCTGCAGCGGGGGTGGGGGTGGGGGATGAGAGAGAAAAAAAGAAACACACACTGAGGCTTCTGGTCTACCAACCCAAATTTCCCTGACAGAGCTCAGAAGGGAGGGAGAGGAGTAGCACAAAGAACATCAGAAATGCTGCAGGAGAAGGAATCTGGAGAAACTCCTATCAGTATTTCTGTTTATCATTAACATCAAACTTCTAAAATTAGAAAACAGCCATCAGCCAATTCCCAAAGAGACATTAAGAGACAAAGAACGAAAATCACGATTTTTTCCTCAAACCAATCCACTGTCGTGGGTGTCTTCCAGAGTATCCTAGAAAACAGTTCAAAATCTTCCAACACCTACTGACAGCTTAAGGCTGTCAAGACTCACTTTTTACCTTAACTAAAAACAAAAATCTTAAAGTGAAAAAAAATCAGAAACCCAAGTCTGACAAATAGAATCCATTGTTCATCTATCCACTAACAACAGAATTCACAGTAGCTATCTCTGTGAATCCTAGGGACTTTTTTTAGTGACATTTTCTAATTATTCTAGAGTGGACATACTTGCACAATGTAAAAAAGAATCATTGAGGCTGGCACTGTGGCATAGTGGGTAAAGCCGCCGCCTGCAGTGCAGCATCCCATATGGGTGCTGGTTCAAGTCCCGGCTGCTCCACTTCCAATCCAGCTCTCTGCTATGGCCTGGGGAAGCAGTAGAAGATGGCCCAAGTGCTTGGGCCCCTGTATCCACTTGGGAGACCTGGAGGAAGCTCCTGGCTCCTGGCTTCGGATTGGCGCAGCTCCAACCATTGTGGCCAGCTGACAGAAGACCTTTCTCTCTCTCTCCTTCTCCTTCTCTCTCTGTGTAATTCTTTCAATAAATAAACCTTTAAAAAAATTCGTAAGTAGCTCATGGAAGTATGTTCATGCAACACCAACTCTTCTGTGTTTAGAAAAGGTAAACGTGTGTTTGTACAAGCACAAAAAAGTTCTGAAAGGAAGGTGGGCAAGCAGCTGTCAGTGGCTGCCTCTGGGCGTGGGACTGGTGATGCTTACATTTTATGTCCCCTCGTTCTGTGCTGCAACTTTCAGAGATGATAGTACGCAGGTGTAAAGAAGAGGTGAGTCTGGGATGGGATGAGAACTCTGGTCCCCAACAGCAAGACCCAACCAGCAACTTACTTATTGGCCATCTCAGTAGAAAACACATACACCACTTTGGCCGGGGTCTTCTGAGCAGGTGTAGGCTCTGGGGCAGCAGTTTGGCCGTGAGAAGGGGTGGAAGACCTGGGAGCCGTAGCAGCCGATGGGGTCATCGAATGGGGTGTGTGCTGGGCCTCCTGGGGCTTGATGTGGTCAGCAGAATTACATTCTGAAAGCATGAGAAGACTCATCATCATAGAAAGAACACTTCCTGTCATCTGCCAGCATTACAGCAGCACAACATAAACCCCCGAGAGTTTCAAGGAGAAAGCAAGCACCGTACTAAGAGGAAATCATCTCCTCTACCCCGGAACTTCAAATACTGTTCTTAGTCTCCCTAATTCCAAAGCATGCTTCTCCCACCACCTCACTTCTCTAACTTTCGTCCATCCTTAAAATCAATAAACGTCCCTCCTTCCTGGAAAACCCCCGGGCCCCCTGGCCCTGACTGCACACCCCCGCTACCTGAGCTCACTGCCCCCAACCTCCCGCACTTCATCATCTCAGGATCCACGGTAACGGCTTAGTCGTCACCGAGGTCTGCACACTCTCAAACCCTTGAGGAGAGCCCCTGTTCGGCTGACCACGGCACCCTCGGCCCCCAGCACCGTGCTGGCACTCACAAAAGACCTCCAAAGCCCCTGAGCAAGGGTAGGGGAGGCTATTCAGGCTTTCACTTCTAATTTGGGCCCAGGAGTCCTCTCCCATTCCTCGAATACTAACTCCACACTCTGGCTTTACGACTGTTGCTCTTATACGAGGAGGCTAAAAGGCGTAAAACCACAGCCACTGGTCCCACGTCCCACTGGGCTCACTCCATGCTGGTGCCTCTCAAATCTCTACCACACCTGGGCTACTCATTCGTGCCACAGGGAAATCAGCTGTGACAAATGTGAACCAGTGCCAGGGCCACCGGCTTCCTCGTGTGTCTACAAGTCTGCCAAAGTGGCCGCAGGGCACCAGACCCAGGCCTCGGAGGTTTACGCTGATGAGGAAGAGGAAGGGTGCAGAGGAACTGCTGCGGTGGAGACCATGGGCATAAAAGACCAGAGCTGCTGGCTCCGAACGGCAGTGCGAACAGCACGGAGGCCAGAAAGATGCAGACAGGCCAGCTGGGCCCGTAAAACAGCCTCCACAACCCCTAAAGCACAGGCAGCCTCACGCCTGAGAGCCCTTCGACAGGGTAGTTCCAAGCTGGTAGAAAAATGAGAAGGAACTTCACCGTTAGCTGTGCGCCTCCCTCAGCCTGATCCCTGCTCTCCCCGCCTGGCTGCCTGCTCTGGCTCTCGGCAAATGCCAGAGGCCTTCCCTCAGGAATACCTACTGCCCTCGGAGTCTGAAAGAGCTTAGAGACATACCTTTCATGTCAGAGTCATCGTTTGGAGTCCCAGGATCTCTCTGATCAAAGGAGTCGGCGGAAATACTTCGCTCCCTTTTCCCCTTGCCCTTGGCACCACTTCCAGCCCCATTCTTCAGCCCCATGCTCCCACCTGGGCCAGGGAGTGCTTTAGGGGTATGGCCCCCACTCTTGGAGTCACAGGGGGATGGCTGGGATTGGCTGGCTGAGCCCCCCTGTTTACCCTGATTGGAGAATTTGGAATCCAGCTGGGGGTTTCCAGATGGGGACATCACTGTAGGGGGACGGACCATCACCTCCTGCTTTGACTTAGGGCTACTAGAAGAAACAAATAACAGGGAGATCAGACGCCACATTCAGCTGGTCAGCACACGCCAGGGGGCAGCAGTTTCGCTGCAGGTCAAGGAGACCCTGAGGACTAACTAGCCACCCCCCCACCCCGTGCCCCCTCGGCCTTCCAGCCCTGCTCCTGTCTCAGGGCCACCAACAGAGGGAGGATGCAGCGGAGCGGCCTGCCGGGTCTCGGGAACCAGGCGGCACCCGGGGACCCATCTCTGGGGCCTCTGTCAATAATGGACAACTGTTTCTATGTACTTAGAGAAGCGACTCTCACACCGGGCCTGGCTCAGAGTCAACACACAGGCGTCGTGAAGATCAAAACACTACCCACCCGCAGGCTGATGACAAGGAACAGCTGTAATGAGGGCCTCGCTTCCCTGCTGGAGAAGGCGAGCAGCCCCAGGAGGGCAGGAGGAAACCCCGCTGGTGACTGTCAGGTTAGGGAAATCCTCCCGGACACTAATCCCTCCCAACAAGCAGCACGACACCACGGCACACACCCCGCCACGGCCCCGGGGCCCGAGGGAAAGACTCCTTGAAAATAAGGATTTCAGGAGATTTCAGGACTCTGGAACAGAAGAGCAAGCCGCTCAGTGGGAGTCGGGGCCGGCGTTCTCTTCTAGGACCTCGGGCCTCCCCGCGCCAGGCCTCGGCCCCTCAGCTGCCAAGCTCAGCCAACTGTCTTTAAGGTTCTTTTGTTTGTGCTTTGGCAAGGAGGGGGCCGAGGATGGGGAGAGGTCCGGGGACGATGGACCAAAAAAACATCGGAAACTCGAACGTAAGCCTTGACGATGCCACGGCCTGTTCACTACACCCTATTCCTGTTTGCTAATCTAGCGTCTCGTCCTTTCCTGTTTGAGTCTCATCTGCTTCTGATTCAACACCCTGTCCCTGCCGGGAGTGGAACAGCCCCGAGGGGGCAGCAGGTGCAGGCCCTGGCCCTCACTTACCTCTGTGTGTTTCCTGATGGAGAGTTCCTCACTTTAGGGTTACTGGAATGCATTGATTGAAATCCTGAGCTTGCAGTCACAGTCAGGGACGGGCTCACCGAGTTCCTCTCGGGCTGCAGCAGAAACGGCTGCTGGGGGCAGGGCCAGGGGCCCACGGCTTGCCGGGTGCGTCCTTTAGCGCTGGCAACCTGTATGCCTTTTTCCTCTTGGTTTTTCTTTGCTGTGGAAATAGGTCCTTTCCCCTTGCAGTTCCAGCATTCTCTGGGTGTGTGCCTCCTGCTGCCAAAGGAAAATCTCGCATCTCCAGGGCACACTACGAGAAAAGCCACCCAGAAAGAGTCAGGGGCACAAACAGAGACCGAAAAAAAAAACCAAACCCTTACAACAGGATCAAAGTGAGAGCACTAGCCAAATCTGAAAGCAGCGGCTTGGTCACTCCTCAGCCTCCACCAGGGCTAAAGGACAGGCTGATGGTCACATCTGGCCACAGGCTCTGGGGTGACTGAGACCTCCTGCCCCGCACACAGCCGCCCGCCCATGCCCACGCAGCAGGCAGAGAACCAACGCTTGCCCCTTATGTCTGTCTGTTTCTGAATAGAAAAACCTTCCAAAACTGGTGTTTCTTTTCTTCAAGCCGATGCTTTGGAACCACTGGCTACTGCAAATCCACAGCAGCTACCTGGTAGTCGGCTAGGATGGCAAACAATGGCGCTGAAATGTAACAAACACACACCGACTTCAAACCCGGAGGGAAATGAGGCTACACTCCGATAATTTGGGCCTCGGGGGTGGGGAGACATTAAAGGAGGTCCCTCTGAAATCCTGTATTGAGCCGATACCGAATACAATCAGTTCTGCCCCTCACTTCCATGATCTCTTTATTAGATTATGCCCAGCACCTGTCCTGTGCTCTCGCTGCGTAATGACAGGGACTGCAGGCATGGGTAAGCATAGGAATGGTCTATAATTTTGAAGGTAAAAGAACATCTTTGAAGGCTGAGATATTTTTGAGCCAATCTGCAAGGCTAATTTGAAGCATAAAGGTCAAGAAAATATTCCCAAACCTAGCCAGAGAACAAACGAGAAGGCCCTTCAAGTAAGGAAGCCTAGACTAGTACGGGGAAAACCAGGGTAACTTTGTCACCGCTCCCTCCTGGGGGATTCCAACATGGTGGTTTTTTTTTTTTCTTTCCTTCCTTCCTTTCTTTTCTTTCTTACCTTCCTCTTTCGTTTCTTTCCTTCCTTCCTTTCTCTCTCTCTCTCTCTCTCTCTCTAGGTTTGAGAGACAGACAGAAAGAGAGAGCCCCTACCTGCTGGTAAACTCCCCAAATGCCCTCAAGAGCCACCATTGAGCCAGGATGAAGCCAGGGCCCACACTCAAACTAGGTCTCCCACATGGGTAGCAGGGACCCAACTATTGGACACATCACTGCTGCCCCTCAGGGTACACATTAGCAGGAAGCTGGAGACAGGAGCCCAAACAGGATATTACCCCTAGGTACTCCAATATGGGTTATGAGCATCTTAACCACTAGGCTAAATGCCTACATACACACTCACCCCCCCAGCCCTGCCAATACATGGTTTTCTTTTTCTTTTTTTAAGACTTGCTTATTGATTTGAAAGAGTTACAGAGAGAGGGACAGACATCTTGCATCTGCTGCTTCATTCCCAAATGGCCACAATGGCCAGGGCTGGGCCAGGCCAAAGCCAGGAACCAGGGGCCCAAACACTTGGGCCATCTCCCATTGCTTTCCCAGGCCATTAGCAGGGAGCTGGGTCAAAAGTGAGCAGCTGGGACATGAACCAGTGCCCACTGGAATGCTGGCATTGTGGGTGGCAGCTTTGTCCCCTGTGCTACAAGGTTGGCGCCAGTATGGTTTTCTTGTAACCACTATTCCCTCTCTGCTACCTCCTGATAGCAGTGTACAGGACTAAAGAAGTAGGATATCAGGTGCAGGATGAGTGGCTAAAGAATCAAAGGGAGGGAGTTGGTACCATGGCGCAGTAGGTTAATCCTCTGCCTGTGGCGCTAGCATCCCATATGAGTGCTGGTTCAAGACCCGGCTGCTCGGCGCCGCGGCTCAATAGGCTAATCCTCCACCTTGTGGCGCCGGCACACCGGGTTCTAGTCCCGGTCGAGGCACCGGATTCTGTCCCGGTTCCCCCTCCTCCAGGCCAGCTCTCTGCTGTGGCCCGGGAGTGCAGTGGAGGATGGCCCAAGTGCTTGGGCCCTGCACCTGCATGGGAGACCAGGAGAAGCACCTGGCTCCGGGCTTCGGATCAGCACGATGTGCCAGCCGCATCGCACCAGCCGCGGTAGCCATTGGAGGGTGAACCAACGGCAAAAAGGAAGACCTTTCTTTCTGTCTCTCTCTCTCACTGTCCACTCTGCCTGTCAAAAAAAAAAAAAAAAGACCCGGCTGCTCCTCTTCCAATCCAGCGCTCTGCTGTGGCCTGGGAAAGCAGTGCTTGGGCCCCTGCACCCATATGGCACACCAGGAAAAAGCACCTGGCTCCTGGCTTCGGATTGGTGCAGCTCCGGCCTTTAAGGCCATTTGGGGAATGAACCAAATGAAGAAAGACCTTTCTCTTTGTCTCTCCCTCTCACTGTAACTCTACCTCTCAAATAAATAAATAAAATCTTAAAAAAAAAAAAAAAGAATCAAAGGGAGTTAGAAACAGTCCAGGTGTTCCAGCTTATATATGGAAGGACTTGGAAAAGTTTGTGGAAAATGGAATTAAATGCCAAGTTCATGAGTGGGCATTTGGCTGGTTAGGATACCCATACCCCACATAAGAGTGCCTGGGTTTGACTCCCAAATCCAGGTCCTAACTCCAGCTAATGTACACAGTGGGAGGCAGCACTGATGGTCCAGGTAATTGGGCTCCTGCCACCCTGGTGAGCACCCAGGTCCTGTCCCCTGAGCGTTGAACCAGCAGATGGGAGCTCTCTCTCTACCTCTCAAGTCAATTACCTAATTAGCCAAAAAAGAAAGATGATAAACCTTATTTTGTACAAAAGAATTTGAAATTCACACATACAAGGGATCTGCACAAAATTCATGAAAAATGCATGTGATGAAAAAACTATGGATCTCAAAAACTTTTCACACTAAAATAAACATATCTTTTAACTATATTTTTCCATGAACTTTTTCTTTTCAAGATTTATTTTATTTGAAAGTCAGAGTTACACAAAGAGAGAAGGAGAGGCAGAGAGAAAGAGAGAGAGACAGAGAGAGGTCTTCCATCCGCTCATCCGCTGGTTCACTCCCCAGCTGACCGCAATGGCCAGAGCTGTGCTGATCCAAAGCTAGGAGCCAGGAGCTTCCTCCAGATCATCCCACATGGTTGCAGGGGCCCAAGGACTTGGGCCATCTTCTACTACTTTCCCAGGCCATAGCAGAGGGTTGGATCAGAAGTGGAGCAGCCAGGACTTGAACCACTACACCTATGGGATGCCGGCACTGCAGGTGGCGGCTTTACCCATTATGCTACAGTGCTAGCCCCTTTCCATGAACTTTTGAATGACCCTCAAATACTCTGAGAGATAAAACTAAAATTGGGAGGATTAGTTATTATGTTAGGTTTTGGCGCTATAATCACCATCAAATGTTAAATGTCTATTTCTCCACTTAGAAATTTGCAATAATTCCAGCTATATTACATGGGGTACATAAAAGAATTTATGGAAATTCTGAGTGTACACAATTAAAGTTTTTTCTTTTTGTAGTAAAGAAGTTAGAGGAGGGACCAGCACTGTGGCTCACTTGGTTAATCCTCTGCCTGCAGCGCCAGCATCCCATATGGGCACAGGTTCTAGTCCCTAGTTGCCCCTCTTCCAGGCCAGCTCTCTGTTCTGGCCCGGGAGGGCAGTGGAGGATGGCCCAAGTGCTTGGGCCCCTGCACCCGCATGGGAGACCAGGAGGAAACACCTGGCTCCTGGCTTCAGATTGGGGCAGCACTGGCTGTAGTGGCCATTTGGGGAGTGAACCAATGAAAGGAAGACCTTTCTTTCTGTCTCTCTGTCTCTCTCACTGTCTATAACTCTACCTGTCAAATAAAAAAAAAAGTTAGGGGAAAGATCTAGAATAAAACACTGTAGAAGGGCCAGCGTGCTGTGGCAAAGCTGCCACCTGCAGTGCCAGCATCCCATATCAGCACCAGTTCGAGTCCTGGCTGCTCCACTTCTGATCCAGCTCTCTGCTATGGCCTGGGAAAGCAGTAGAAGATGGCCCAAGTTCTTGGGCCCTTGCACTCACATAGGAGACAATGAAGAAGCTCTAGGCTCCTGGCTTCGGAGTGGATCAGCTCCAGCCATTGCGGCCAGCTGGGGAGTGAGCCAGCAGATGGAAGACCTCTCTCTCTCTCTCTGCCTCTCCTTCTCTCTCTCTCTGCTTCTGCAATTCTGCCTTTCAAATAAATAAATAAATAAATCTTGAATACATAAATAAATGAATAACACTGTAGATGTAGAATGTTTGCATGCCTATCTCAGCAGCAAGCATCCTAAAACCACTGTGGACTGGATTATACTCAGGGTTGCATTCTTATCCCTTACCATCTTTCAGGTTTTCTCCCCTTCTGCTTAGACTATAAAATGGAATGTGGTTGTCAAGCTCAACATAGACGATCACAAACCATTCTGTAGCTTCTCACTAAGCATCAGGATCACCCGTAAACCAGCAGTGGAAATGAATGTTGCATGGACAAAGCCATCGAAGAAAAGCAGTTAGCGCCCCTCCAGTCTCCCTCTGTAACTTCTGGTACTTTCTGGCAGCACCACACAACCTGTACTCAGCCCCACGTCATACTAAATAATCCTGTGTGCACACTGCATTGCCCTGTGAAGACTACGTTCTTTGAAGACAAGAACCTTATTTTTAAAGTTCCTTGGTTTTGCTGTGATACTCAGCATGTGGTACTGAGAACAAAGTTAGCTCCGCTGTGACTTATTCAGCTCCTCATGGAACAGGAGCACCTGGCATGTGCTGTACTCTTTCTCCAAAGAAACTCAAAACGCATTACACACCTCAAATCACCTCATTAATCTGCCAGGCATTTATGAGGAAGCCGGTAGCAAAGACGATTTCTAATAACAATGCTGTGAACATGAAACACTTTGGTTTTCAAAGTCCTTCTCCGTCAGTATCTTATTCTCACCCTCCGCCTGACCTTGACCGACAGGTACGGAAGCACGGGGACTACCAACGGCTGCTCCCCGATTTCTGATCACTGCTCTCTGCGCTGGCTCTTCGCCCTACACCGTCTCCCTCACCCGGCCCTTACGGATGGAGACAGCACAGAGGCTGAAACACCTACAGCCTCGCCAGTGACTGGAAACAAAGGCCAAGTTTTCCACACCTGCTCTAAAGGAGTTGTTGAAAGAAATCATGACTAGCTTTAGCCTTTTGACAATGAAAGTAACTGAGCAGAAACATCTGCCAAGTAAGTTATCTCACACTGTTCCAAAGAATAAAATTCAGAAAGTTAGTGCTCAATTGTTGGCCTTGAAGGACCAGGAAAAAATCTTCTAAACAATTATTTTGACCAGAGAGAGACTTTTTTTTTTCCCTCCAATGAAAATAAATCTCCTAATTCTTTAGGTCTAATGGTACCTTTCTCTCTTCTCTCCTTAAGGAATACTTAACAGTACTTACTATGGGTCAGGCACTGTTCTAAGCACTGCACAGACACGTTCACTCACTCACAACCACTCCCCAAGGCAGGCGCTACCACTGTCCCTTTTCGAGGAGACTAAGGCTCACACCCGGGAAAGGGGTAGAGCTGGCGTGCAGGCCCAGAGTCCCGTCCTCTTCATCACGACAAGCCAGCTGGGCAGAAGTGCCTGGCAGCGCCACGCGGGCACACCAGCGTGACCGTCACCATGACCGCTGCCCTCCCCCCAGCAGGCTCACCGGCCGCTTTCCCAGCGTCTGCATCTCCTGTCTGCCACCTGCCCTCCCGCTCTCGCCAGGTACACTGCACTGTCTTGCCCAGTACTTCCAGGGGAGAAAAGGTGTCCCCAGGCAGGCAGTCCCCTCCGCTAAATACTCACATCTATTTTCATTAGTGCTTACCCCCTCCTTCCTCTCTTATAGGAGCAAACCAACAACAGCCCGCATTTCCCCAAACATCAGTTCTCCAGGAGTGTCCTAGGCCTATCCCTTCCAGTCCTGTCTACTGGATCCCTCCAATCAGCATCCAGAACCACACTGTACTTTCCTCCAGTGCAGAAGCTAAGTAAAGGTGATGGAGTAACACAGCCGCCAGCCAGCGGCAGCACTCTATTCCCCTTCCGAGCCGCACTTCCCCAGAGCTGAGCAGACACAGCGCTCACTTCCCCACTCGCCACTCACTCCTGAGCCACTCCAAACCAACTTCCAGCTCCAGACGACAGAAGCCACGAATTCTGGTAACCTCACCCCGGCCACTTCCCCCCCTCTCCCCACTCCATCACTTGGGCTTTGCCTCCTTCCTGGGGACACTCCTCTCTGGCCTCCCTCCCCTCTTGAGCGGCTTCCTTGGCAGCCCCTTCTCTCTGCGCTCAGCTCTGGGCCCTCTTCACATTCTGTCTGAAGCTCTCTCCAGGCAGACGGCGTCCATGTTCTCACTTCTTCCGTCCGGCTCTGCTTGTGCTCACAGACCCACGCTCACAGCTGCCTGCCTGACACCTCCCGGGACATCACCAACCGGACGGGACCCAACATCAAGTCTGTATTTCTAGCCTCCCTCCAAATGCTATTTCTCGTCATAACAAACGACCCCTCTACTCAGCTGCTTGTGCCAGAAATTCAGGGGCGTCCTCAACACCACGCTCCTTAAATCCCCAACCTCTGCCCCCATGGCAAGCTTGAATCTTTCTGTGGAGCGAATGAAGCCTCAGCTTCAGTGTTTCTTCTGCAGAGAGAAGGATCCCCTCAGGCCACGGACCCACGTGACGTCCCCACTACCCTTCTCATAGCATCCTCGGCTCCTCCTTTGTAACGACACACGCACATACGCGATGAGCACCTGCTGTACATCTCCTCCACTAGCCCATAAGCTCTGTGAAGGTGGGGTTCAAGACCCTGGTGTTCATCTGTATTCCCAGCCCTGACTATCATGCCCAGCCCACGGTATTTGCTCAAAAAAAAAAAAAAAAAAAAAAAAAAAAGTCTGTTGTTATCCAAAGAAAATGGAGTCAGTATGTTGAAGAAATATCTGCACTGCTATATTCAACGGATGAATACATAAAGAACATGTGACAAATATACATAATAAAGTACTACTGAACCTTAAAAAAAAGGACAGAGAGAGATTCTGTCATTTACATCAGTGTGGATGAAGCGGGAGACTATTGTATCAGGTGAAACCAGCCAGGCACAGAAAGACAAATACTCATGAGCCCATGGAATCTAAAAGAGTGGGGCTCATGGGAGCAGGGGGTAAAACGGTGCTTACGAGGGGCTGAGGGTGGTGGGAGAGGAAGAGTTGGGTGCTACAAAGGAAAAGGTGTGGAGAGCAAAAGCTGCAGCTTTTCCCCAGACCGTCTTCCGAGCCAGGCACGTGCTGCAGGGCTGCCTCCCATCAGTCTACTCACCGAAACCCCAGGGGTCACGACACGGCACTGCTCATCCTGGAGCCGAGTCCAGGGGCCCCTCTCTCAAAGGGAACCTTCACCTGGAAGGAGGCAAAAGGGGGAAACGTTTCCGTGTGGATTCAGAAACCAACAAGATCCACTTGCCGCGCGGACGCTCTGAGAGGACAATCAGTTTCCTGATACAGACTACGGTGTCGTTGAAGAAGCTGTCCCCGTCCACGTAAACAGAATCCGCTCGCGGGTATTCAAGGGCAGAGACAGCGAACCTACAGATACCTTCCGGCTCCTGTGCTTTCCCTCCCACCCAACCGCACATTTCACTTTTCAGAGAATGGAGAAACACGAAGTACAGATAGAGTGAGCTTCTCTACTTTTCCCTGTTCTGGGCACTGGGGGAATAGTCACATTTTTTGTTTCTGCCCATTTCTTATAGAGAACTGAGATGACTGTAAAGGAGGAGAGAAACAAAACTCCAAGTCTCCTTCACCACGCAGTGGCCCTCCCTACTCTCCACTGTGACTCAGCAAGGCAGCATCCAGAAAAGCTATGTCCCAAGACTTCTGGGGAACTCAGAGTGGAACAGTCTGGCCAGAGAGTTTCCTTACATTCAGTGCCTACTGTGTGCAAGGTCCTGCTTGAACAGAGCCAGACCAAGTCAATAAACCACTCAGGTACTGGTCAAGCAGAACAACGGCCAACATCAGTGCTTGCAAACCAGCATTGTGACACTGAGCCACCCACTTTGCCCAGAACTTATAGTTTCAAGGTTGGTAAGGGAAAAGTAAGTTCTAGATTGTTTTGGGGCCAAACCATTCAGGAATCTTTGGAGACTCTCCAGAGTTGCCATGAAGTTGTGTGTAAATTCACCAACAAATTGCCCAAGTTCAGAACCACCTCTAAGAGTTCCGATTTCAACTCTCCCAATGACGTGTACACATTTCCCTGCTCTAAGAAGTCAAGTGTATTAGAACTACGTCATGTTTAACAAATTCCATTTCTATGCTATGACCAGTACTCCATAAAAGGCATAGCATCAAACTTAGAATGTGGAACTAAAAGGCCTCCAGATTCCATTCCCAGCTCATTCTTAACTTCTGACACGCCAGCTACTAAAAGGCTTCCTCTCAGAGCCAGTACACAATAGGAAGAACCAATCTTTACCCAACACGTGGAGAAGAGCAAACAAAGGACACGTAGAAAAAGCCTGGTGCAAACAAAATATGAATGTATACTTCAGAACTCAGGTAGTAAAAATGCGCCTACTGTCCTCGGCTAACAAACTCTAAGCAAGCAAACGTTATAATGAGTTGGAGAGTTCGGACAAAATTCGTGTTCGAAAACCGATTTCAGCTATTGCCATTTAGACTGACAGTTACCCACAGTAACATTCCAGCCCTTCTCTGTGCAAGTCTCCTTCATTCCCAACCATCCCTGCACATCTTCCACAGCACCACAGTCTTATAGTCACAACACTTAGAAAACCATACCCCTGCCAGGGGTGGACAGGGGGCTTGGGGAGGGCTGTGCCGTCCTTGATCTCAGCCCCTGGTAACGGGCAGAACCCGGTGAGTGCTGCCTGAACCATGGATTATAATGAGTGCTCGGCTTGTGTGCTGCTACCCTTACTGCACACTCACACAAACTGGGACGACAGGGTCGACACTTGTTTGACTTTTCACCACCTGCCTTTCTCCTTGGCGCTATGTAGAAGAACCACACTCATAGCTTGGACTTGCAGTTAAGGGGATGACTGCTGCCTTGAGAACTGTGAGAACAGGGGTCGAGAACCTCATCTGTGCCAAGGGCCGTTTGGATAGTTATACCCTCATTATGGGCCATACAAAATTATCACCACCTATGTTTATCTTCTTAGAATGATACCTATGAAATACATGAAATCTCTTTAAATTAATAAAATTTTTTTAACAATTAGCCTGCTATAAATGTACTGAATTTCGAGTCTTCCCTGTAGCTGTCTTGGTAGGGCCAGACCAAATGATTTTGTGGGCCTTACACAACCAGGCGACCGGATGTTCCCAACCCCTGTAGAATAATGAAAGAGTGTAGTTTTAAGGGCTGGCACCATGGCACAGCAGGTAAAGCTGCTGCCTGCAGCACCAGCAACCCATACAGGTACTGGTTCAAGTCTGAGCAACTCCACTTCCGAACCAGCTCCCTGCTAATGTACCTGGGAAAGTACTGGAACACAGCCCAAGTACTTGGACCCCTGCACCCATGTGGGAGACCTGGAAGAAGCTCCTAGCTCCTGGCTCCTGGCTTCAGATTGGCCCAGCTCCAGCTGTTACAGCCATTTGAGGAATGAATCAGTGAATGGAAGATCTCTGTCTCTGTCTCGTCCCATTTCTAATTCTGCCTTTCAAATAAATAAATCTTAAAAAAAAAAAAAAAAGAAAAGAGAGAAAGAAAGAAAAGAAAAACTGTGGTTTTAACTTACAAGAGACCCTACAGAAACAAAAATCTAACATGCTCAGATTAAATGACAAAGGTTATGAGGCTTATCATATTCTTTACCTTTCAAGATGTCCAATTTGTTCTCTCTTCTACATCAGGACACAGAAGCACTTTCCAACACTGATCTCTGCCACCCAAACAGAAGGGAATTTTTAGGTCAAAGTAGAGTGACACCAGCTAGTCCCACATTCATTCCTACAGGGACAAGAAGAAGAGTTCACACCCAAATTCACACTGATTTCAAAGGAAATCACCCATTCCCCAAAGCTCTGTGGCTAATGTAATATTTGAAAGAACTTGTAGGAACAATTAGGTCAAAAATGAGGAAGGAAGGCTAAAACCACTAAAACTCAAAATACCAGAAGTCAGAGATAGGGACACTGCAGCCTAAATCCACCCCACCGGGGACTAGCCATGCTTATTGATGACGGGGGTTTAGAAAAACAAAATGCACCAGACACAGAAGCCTCATTTTAATCACTGTTTTTAACTTTTTCCACCACAAAGAACAGTCACTATGGTTGCAAAATGGACTTCTTGCTTCCTGTCTTCTCTACGTCCCTGTTACTAAGCATGGTACAGATGCTGAGATGCACCACAAAATCTAAAATCCAAGTGGCCATAAGACAACTCAAGAATCAATTGCTCTAGCCCAGGAGTTCTTAACCTGGCATCTACTGACTCCCAAGGGGACTGTGTGTACTCTTGGGGCTGGCAGTGTCTGAACCTGCTGCAAAAAACCTTTATCTTTATTTTGACTAACTTCTCAAAGTCAGCATGGCCTTCAGTTGTGAAGGAAGGTAACAACCCCTGAGAGTATTAGCAATCCTGTGACTATGTTGCCAGTAAAAACCACAAGACATCTTCACATTAAGCTACAGATGTCACAGCCAACATGCTCCATGCACTCATCACTCCTTCAAAACTACAGGCTCACGAGACCTACGGCTGCGATTTATTACTTAATGTGTTACAACGAAGCACATAAATGACTATATCACAATTAACATTTTGCTAACTATCCATTTCATTTGTAATCCTATGTATTTTATTTTGTGCATTTAAAAGTACACATTCAGATGGGGTCTATGTTTCACCGGGTTGCCAAAGGGATATAGGGGAATATAAAAGGTTAAAAACCCCTTATCAAAACTTCTATAGACCACCATCACAGTCACCAAGGCAAATAGAGAAGTAGGTCACTCCAACAGTATTCCATAGTTGAAGAAAATTAAGCTGTAAGGAAGCCAAGAAACAGGTCCAAGGCCACACACATTTAGGGTTGGCATAGCCTAAGTTAGCACTCACACAATCTCTTTCCATTGTCCCATGGTGACCTTCCCGTACATTTTTATAATTGTCATTGCTACTAAATGGAAAGAGATAGTACCTATCAAAACTAATAAAAAACCCAAGACAAAGAACAAAATAGATACTCAAAATACTTTTTGTTCCTTCATCACACATGTTGCTATACATTGTTACAAAAGCTGAACTTGACATTGGAAAGACAGTTGTTTGAAAGAAGAAAGTTGGGCTACATTATCTCCCCTTCTCAAGGTGTTCAAAGCACTATGCAGACAGGCACTCACTTGTTGGGCTGAAATGCAGTTAGGAGCAGTTAGAGCAGGTGCTATCAACACTTTGTAGACCAGACAACTGGAGAATAAATGACAGATCTGTTCAAAGTCAGTTTGAGAGCTAACTTCCTGATTCCAAGTTCAAGGCTCCAACCACTGTACAAAAACCATCATGATCAATGATTAATAATGCTTGTGAAACTTCTGTTATTTAATTTTGTTTTTACAAGCCAGAAAGCATTTTCTCTTGATTCACAGGAGCAGACATTTCTGAAGGCTAAGGGGAAGCTATCATAGAATCAACTCCAGTGTATCTAAGTATGCTTTTGCTTACAACAGTCATCTCAGAATTCAGATCAGGAATCCTCTCTCAAGAGCCAAGATACATACTACTTGTCTCATAAAAAGAGAACTGCACGGAAATTGTTCCTTCGGCCAATGACTTCCCCATCTACCCACCACGCCTTTTCAAACTATTATCATCTTACATTCGATACAAAATGATACTCTAATGGTCCCATACCAAAACTCTAGGTCACAAAACTACCAAACGTCACACTCCAAACCCTTCTCAACTTTTGTCGACTTGATTATTTCCTCTTATCCAAACCATCAAACAACGAATGGACCCCACATTTCTCAAAACATGGTATTTAATAGCTGCTCTTATTCACACTTCTCTGTCTTTAACAGTTTGAGTCTTTTTCAACAGAGCTTAAAGGAGCTCTCCTAAATTTTTACTTAAGACTGTGTCACACATTTCTTTCTTGCTAAAACATCCCAATCACTGGTATCCAGTCAAAAAACAAAACCAACAGGATGATCATGTTGCACAATCCCCAGTCACAGGTTTGTAACTCACATGCCAGTCTCAGCCTTCAACATCATTTCGCTCCCCTCCTCCCACCTCTCAACTATTTTACCATTATCCCAAGAACATTCCACTGCTGACTGTATCAAACGCTACCAACCAGCACACAGCGTCGACCACAATGTAACTCTTCACATAGCCACTCCCTCTCCCCTGAAATCAATGCCAGGGACTCCCCTACCTTGGCCTTAACCAAAGGCTAAGTGTGTGTCAGTTCCAGCCCACCCCGAGTCTCTCCACTCACACACGGTTGGGTCCACTTCTCTGCTTAACCTAGCAACTTTCCCAACCCTTAAGTGGATTCCAATTTAGATCCAAGTCCCTGGTATCGCCCAAATTCCACTCTCCCTCCCCCTCCTGCTGACCAGGGGGCTCAGGCGGGCTCTCAGGCCCCCTCCTCCAGGCCTGGCGGCCCTCACAGCAGGCCCCCAGCACCACTCTCACAGGCCTCTGTTCCTCCCTCCCTTTGCTCTGGACACAAGAACCAAGCCCGCTGTTCTCCTGGGGACATCTCCATTTCACCAGGCTCACCCACTCACCAGTGACATCTTAATAGTCTCTCCAACTTTGAAAGGCCAGTGGCTAGGGCCCCACTTTGAAAATCACTGGTGTGTCCCCCGACCCTCACAATGACTCAGTGACCTAGACGCCGCCACTCACCTGCTGGAGCCCCTTACGACGGGCAATTCTCGGCGCTCACCTCCCCCCACCCTTCAACAAGTCACTGGCCTGCAAAGTCCCCTCCTATCTCCCTAGCAATCCCCGCCTGGGGTCTTGCGGACCCCACCAAACTCAATCCCAATTCCCTTATTGAGCTCTCCATCTCGCCCCTCCAACGCCCCGGCATCCCAGGACCTGGGACTGTCCCATCTCCTCATTTCACCTCTCCAAGCACTGCTTGGGACACAAACCTCAAACATCGAGAGACGCCCCCTCCCCCGTCTCTCCTCACCGCTCGCGAGGCGCCCCGACCTCCCCCCACAGGTTCCTCCAGACTCAACTCCCTAAATCTGCAACCGCGACCCCCGCCCCTGCCCTCCCCCCACGGCTCTCGGCGGCTGCGGCTGCCCCTGCCCCCAAACCCGCTCAAAACACGCGGACGCGGACCCGGCCCCCCCTACCCCCGGCTCCGCTCCTTCCCCTCCCCCTCCCCCAGGTGCCACTTACCCCGGAGCAGGAGTGGGGGAGGGGCGAGGAGGAGCAGAGTAGGGGAGGGGGCCTCGGTGCAGGGCGGCTCTCAGCCCCGGGGGGCCGGGGCCGGGGCCAGCGGCAGCGGCGGCGCAGCGTCTCCCCCCGGCGGCGGCGGCGGCGGCGGCGCCGTCCCACTCCCGCAGGCACACATAGGCTCCATTGTCCGCCGGCGCCTCCCCCTTTCCGGCTCCCCCCTCCCGGGCCCGCCCCTTCGCCCTCCCCTCGGCCCTCCCCCAGCCGCACCGCGCCACGAAAGGTACAGCGGCCCCGCCTCGGACGCGAGCGGAGCAGCGCCCCCTCCCCCCGGCCCCGACGTCCCGCCCGGCGGGGGAATGGGGCCCGCCCTCTCCCGCCTCAGCGCCCGGCCCCGCCGCCGGGAAGGGCCCGCCCCCCTCCGGGGAATGTCACCGCTCCCCCTCCCGGAACGCGCGCAATGGTACCAACCCGGCCGCTTCCTCCTCCCCCTCCCCCGCCTTCCCGGAGAGGCCCCGCCCCGCGCCCCGCCCCCAGGAGCCTCGCCTCCCGGCCCCGCCCCTCGCCCCGACAGTTACCAAGGGGCCGCCCACCGCGGCACCACCCCCTGGTTTGCATGGGCACGCCCTCCAGGTCGCCTCCCGGTTCGTCACCGGGCCAGAGGTGACGCCCACTGCCCACCTTAAAGCGGCAGAGCCCTCTTTCGCAGCTGAAAGAACCTCCCGGAGGGCGGGCGCTCCTTTCCCGCACCTCCTCCCCGCGCTCACTCACCCGGACCTCCCCGGCGCCGCCCGTCGCTCCGGAGCGGCCGAGGGGCTGGAGGAGGCGCCGAGGGGGAGGGCGGCGTGGGATTTGGCCATCTTTGACGGAAACGAGCTAGAGCTGCTGAAGGAGCCCGTCTTCCCCGCGCTCTTCCCTGCCTCCTAGGTCCCGGCCTCGGCCTCAGCCGTCGAGGCCACGCCGGGGTGCGAGTCCCCCTTGCGCCTCAGCATCGCCCTCCGTCCGCACTGCCTGTCCCGTGCCGGCTCGCGCCCCTCCACCCTCTGCGGAGCAGGTGGCCGCCAGGGCCCTGGGCACGCGGCGGCTGGGACAGCTCGCTGCGTCCCTGTCGGGCCGGCCGGGCGTCGCTCCCGCGTCCCCTGCGGGGACCTTCTTCCCGGCACCTCGAAGCGCTCCGCCACGTCGGGATCGCTCGCCAACCCCGACCTGGGAGCCGCCTGCTCCGGAAGACTCCACGCCCGGGGACCCGGCGCTGTGCCGGGAGAAGAGGCAGAGGGGCGCCCACGAGACTGCACTTTTTCTCAGCAGGGAAAGCGAGGGCATCGTGGTCGGCGCTCGCTACTGCGGGTTTTACCTGGGAGGCCGCGGCCACTCGTGACCGCAGACCTGTCGGCTCGCAGCCCTGCCCCAAACGCCGCTGTCATCTGTGCGTGTGTGTCTGTGCTGTGGAGTCTCGGGCTAAGCTGCCCGCGCATCCCTGTGCGCCGCCCCCGCGGCTCTTCTGACCGCCGGGGGCCGAATGCCAGGGTTAGAAGGTGCAGCGAATCATTGCCCCCAGGCCGACACGGGGAGGCGAGGAGAGGCACACTGGCTTCTCCCACCCAAGGTTTCAACCAAGACCCTCTGTGTCAGGGTCCCCATCTATAAAATAGGACACCTTCCTTGGGTCCGCCTGTTAGGGGACGGCGCCCGTTGTACACACAGGACGCTCCTCACAAGAGAGTCCTAAATGATGGCGCTCATGCACTGCTTCCCAAACCACTGAAAACTCTTGTAACGTGGTCACGGAAGTTTCTGAATCGTGGCTTTCCCACTCAGGGCCTCCGAAAAACTACCCAGATGTTTGCCTTTGTTTTCTTACAACCAAGGATATAGATGAAGGGGAACGTGGGAATACACGATGTTAATCCAAGAGCAATGGGAGAATCCTTAATAGGAAATCATGCAAATAACAATGATTTTGGCCCTAGAATGTTCGGCGTAACATAGCTAAGAACCTCTCTGCACGAAGACAGGAGGGAAAAGTCAGGAATGGATATAAGACACCAGGAATACACGAGAGACTCTGGGATGGCTCTTGCAGGTAGAAGAGGGACTGTAACAGATGGTACAGGATGTGCCTAAAAGAAGAAACACTGTGAAAATAAGCTGAGCTCTGGGCTTGAGGTGTTTCTGACCAGAATAGCAGCTCAGCAAAGCTTAAATAAAAACTCATTATAATAACAATAACACACGTGTAAAAAACTCCTAGCCATTTTCTTAGGCATTAAGCCCTCACATAACCATATGTGTCAAAATGTAAAATTACTCAATCAGAAGAAAAACCCAAATGAATATGAAGTGCACAACACTAGGGTAAAAGAGGAATAATTTTGAGAATTTCAGCATCCTATAAGTCAGGAGTCATAAAAGTTAGGGTCTCCATAGTAACCTTAATTTAGCTACATTGCATATGGGTTTAAAGCATTGTTTATTCTATTAAATGGTTTATCTTGAATTTTCACCCCTTCAGTTGTCTCACTTCCAGGCGTTTCCATCCCACTTGAGGAAGAATTCTATTTTGGCGTATGAGGATCTAACACTGTATATACAGATAATGACGAAATCATTTTAAAAGCATCCTATAAATAAAAGCTTCAAACTGTTTCTGCTACTCTAGAGAGTCTAAGGTAAGAAATCATATTTTTTACCCAAGTGGTACACTTGTTTTTAAAAATAAAGGCTTTTGACAGTAAAGAGACTTGGTTTTGACTGCCTTAGTTCCTGAAATTTGCTTCTCATAAGGGTGATAAGCACTCATTGCATTGTGAACGTGGAGAAATTCAGTTTGGCTTCTTGGTTCTTCAACTAAACATAGCATCTGTGTTATTTCTGTTTGCCTGCGGCCTTTTCCACCTGCAAACTCCACTTTGGAGTTGAGAGAACTAGTGCTTTTGTTTCCTCAGCTCTTGATAAACTTACCTTTCAATTTTTAGGGTTGGAAGGAACCCAGACCCGTTTCACAGAGGAGAATTTCCATGGTTTGCCAAGACTGTGCTCTTTCTTAGGGACTGGAATGCGAGTCCTGCACTGCCCGGCACTGTTCTAACTTCTCAGCGAGTGCTCATTCCCAACCATCTTTACTGCTGCAGAAGAGAACATGACGTTTTCCCTTAGGAAGGATGCCACTGAGAAAGGTTGAGCCCACTCAGCCAGCGGGCGTTAGAGCTGAGAGGCCCTAGTAGATTCTCACTTGAGACAAAGCCGCAGCTTGTCCCCTGCGTTCCTGCTCTTGTTCTGTTCCTCGGCCTCGTCTTCCAGACCCAAACTGGTGAATTTCAACTCCAAAGAAATACTACTAAGAAAGCCATTAATGGCTAACATGAAGGATGAAATGGAACGACATCTCTGGACTTTCTGCTGCTCCTCTGCTGTCAAAACACAGCCAGGCAATCATTTCTTCCTTAGAGTCTTCCTCACCTAGCTTTCATCCGTCCATTGAAGTCAGTGGCACAGTCCCAGAGCTTAAGCCCTGCGTGGAAATGGAGGGGTAATTGTCTCCCTTCTAAGGCGGAAATCAGTGCTTCTCCTCTGCAGCTTCGCCTGGGGCCACTGGCACTGGGCTCGGAGCTCGGATCCTGTTCTTTACATTCTAACAGTCAGAGGAACCCTGGCAGTGAGGCTCTGATGGGCCTGTAATGTGACATTCAGATCCCTCAAGAAGGCTCCACCAAGGTTCCCTCTTTATTTTCACACGCAGGCCTGTATGGTTGTGCCTCTAAAGCCCGAGTATTGTGACATTCAGCCTGCTGCTTCCTGAGCCCTAAGTGATCGACATATCACTGCTTCTCCACTCTTCCGATTTACCGAGAGCCAAGTGTCCATGTGTTCTAGCCATTACCCCCCCAGATCTCTAGATCCTCACACCAGTTCTTCACATTCCATCCTTACAGTTCCACTTCCCTTTTCCTCCTCAATTTCTACTTATTTAGGACTTCCTTTCTCATTCTTAACTGCTTTCCCAACAGTAACTCTGGTTAAGTGTTTGGACTACTTCATTTCATTTCCTTCTCTAACCATTGCCCAAGGAATTTTTATACTGCAGATACACCTGTTGTATGTTTTCCTGAGTTTCCCATTGGCTCTGGACCCTTCCCATTTCACACAA